AACCATTTCAATAAGGGTAAAATGGTAACTTTATATATTTCGTATAAAAAAAGAAAAATAAAAATTGAAACATTTTTCCTCAACGCCTCACTCCCACTCCACCCCTAAAAACAAAACCAGAAAACCCACCCAATCGTCGACTGATCAGCCATTGCCTCCCACCCACACGATGCAACACTTTAATTGTGACTACTTCAAATCGCCGCCACACTGAAAACCTACAATTTCGAGAATTCATTCATTAAAATCCCCCAATTTCGCACGTTTAATCCTGATAATAGCACATTTATTACGCTTTTCACTCATTAATATTTACGTTTCTATGATTCTTTGACGTCTAAATGCACTAAGTATTTCTATATCTTTGTTTAGGTTGCAAATGGGTGAGAATGGTGGAAAATGGAAGAAACAAGTGAAAAATGGTCAAAATGGAAGAAAGTGAAAGTGCAGGGACTGAATAGCAAATACTCTAAACTTGTTTCCAACCTTGTGATGAATATTCGAGAGCGTCGAGGTCAATTAGATGAAGAAAAGAGTCAAATGATGAAATATAGCCAAAACATGATCACAAATCAGCTTTCAAGCTGAAAAGTTTTGCACCGATTTTCAGCCTCATATTGAGACCGGTTTTTGACATGGAAAAAATCAAATTTGAAGATATCTCTGAAGCAAAGTTGTATCCCTTTGAGTTAGCTTTCCAACGCAACTTGAATCAGCTCAATCGGACATCAGAAGAGAAAGTTATGGCCCAAATACGCTGTAAGACGCGCCCTCACCAGAGGAGAGGCGCGCGCCTCACGCCAAGAAAGCTTCGACTGAGGATGCCCAATTCCTTAAGGCGTGGGCCCTATCTTACACTAGGCGCACGCCTTAAGCTAAAGCGCAAAATTTTTCTAGTTTCCTTATTTGATTGAAACACGTATGGAAACCTATTTTTTCCACCAATTTAAGCCCCAAAACGTTCCAGAACTGGGGGATTCTTCTCCGTCAGTTTTCTCTCAAGTTTGGCTCAAGAACTCCATGGAAGGCTAAAGAAATTGGTGAAGCAAGGGAGGAACTCATTCGAATTCGGTGATTTCACGTCGTTCATTCATACTTTTTGGTATTTATTTTGCTAAATACTTCTAAATCTAGATTTTCATCTTTATGAGTTATTGTGAAATTGGTTTAACATGTAT